TCACGTCGGGGGCGGTCGCGGCTGCTGTGGCATGGAGACCAACTTTATATTTCCAGACGACGGCTAGAATGAGATAACAACACGTAATGGGTTCCGTATAACAATCGGCGGAGTGTCCTCGGGCTCTTCATTACTTGTTAATATTCCAATGGATGTTCGCGGTCGGCTGCTCCGCCAGAAATGCGATTGTCGTTAATGATGGGTCGGGGACGAGCCCTCGCGGCGACCTCGTGTAAAACTCCAGACATAAAAGAATTATTTAGGGCTGAATTGCGAGTGGCTGTTGTCATTGTGCATCAAGTACAAGCCGAGAACAAATTCACAAAAAGAAGGCTCATTGTGAGTCAGCTCTCCTCGCTCGCCGAAAACAATGTGCGCCAAAGTGAACAGTACGAGCTCCTTCTGCTGTCTGCCTATTGCTCGTCTCATGCGGGGCTTTCGGCTTCGGACGGAGATATATATTTAAAACAAAACATCGCTAAGTCAATTTCACCATAAAGCCGGTGGGCCTTTGTGCAATGGGACAATGCAATTTCCTAAGAAAGAAAAAAGGAGAAAATAGTTTGGAAACAGAAAGCGGGCGGGATGCCCAAGGCAGGAATGGCGCTCGAGATACTAACCTGCACGCGCGCCTCCGACAGGTCCAGCCTCATGGCCAGCTCCTCGCGGGTAAACACGTCGGGGTACTGCGTTTTCTCGAAGGCCCGCTCCAGCTGGTGCAGCTGGTACGTGGTGAAGGTAGTGCGGGACCGCCGGACCTGCGGGCGAGGAGCACCAGGGCACGTCAGCTTCAAGAGAGAGAAAGGAGATACTTATAGGCCTATGTGCTCGTGACGGCCCGTTCAACACCTATGACGTACATTATTTTGGAATCATCGAAAAGGTGCATTTGAGACTCATCTTAGTCAAATCATTTCGAATATAAAGATTGAGACAAGAGAGGAAGAGCGCCTTACCTTACGTGGCTTGTCGGGGTCGAAGGGGTCAGCGTGATGATCCGGGCACCCAGGGGAGGTAGCTGGGTCTCCCTCCCCCCGGGGGGACACCTCGGGGCTTCCCACGCTCATGCCAGACTCTGCAACAGCAACGGCAAACATTAGTGGCTTTGATTTTAACGCGAAGAACATAGTGCTAAACTTAGGAAGTAGTTGCAACGTACTGATGCAAGGGTAATACATGTTCTTGCAAAACCGAATTTCTTTCTTTCTGGCGCAGGGATATGAAGCTGGATCGCGAGCAAGGAGGAGGTGGGGGGGGGGAGAGTGTGGAGCCCGGTGGTCCGCGTCGGACCCCCCTCCCCCTCCCACTACGTAATCCTCCATTTGGCGGTCATCGTAGCGTAAGTTGATGTCGGGTGACGCTAAGCTGGCCAGAGGTGTCGACAAGGTGGGCACAGCGGCCGACTGCACCATCACCACCACCGCCGGGCGTAGTCACCACCACCGCCTCCACACCACCGTGCTTTTGGGCCATTATCTTAGAACTAATCTTGCCTTCGACCACTGCTGCTTCTTCACAGTGCAGCGACAGCAGATGCGTTTCCTGTCCCTCCGACACGTGCGACGGGACACTCGAGCCACGTCGCAGCCACAATAACAGTGCACTACCATGTTGCGCTCCTGCCGTCACCCCCCTCCCTCCCTGCGCCCTCCGTAACACCTTCGTCACGAGTCGCGTTACATCGCCCTCGTCATCCTCGTCTTATTCAGCATTAGGCTTCTTAACACCAGTTTACCAGCGAGCCTTTCTTGGTGTGGAGGGGAGAAGGGGGAAGGGGAGGGAAAGGGGGGGGAGAGGAAGGGGAATGGAAAGGGGGAGAGGAAGGGGAAGGGGAAAAGGGAGAAGGGGGAGAGGAAGGGGAAGGGGGAGGGGGAGGGGAGAGGAAGGGGGAGGGGGAAGAGGGAGTGGAGGAGTGACACCTTTTCACAAGCGGATTCTTTTCGCTGATCGAACACTCGCAAGCGGCCCGTGACTCATCCACTGTATTGTTCTGCAAAGCTACGTTTACCGAAAAATCCCGCGTGCATGAAATGATTAAGATGACGGTAATGATGGCGAGGATATTGCAACCTCAACTTTTAATCGCCGCGGAATTAATCAAATCGACATCAATAACGCCAAGTGAGGAGGGTTCATTAGTCATGAGTTTTTGTGCCGCTTTGAAGGCACAGATATTTACATGATGAAATAAACTTTTTTTCTTTTTTCTAAAATCTATGCGCTAGATCACACACACACTCGCGCTCACACACACACACACACACACACACACACACACACACACACACACACACACACACACACACACACACACACACACACACACGCACAATGGGCCAAGCCAAGCGCACACAGATCGGATATGACCAATTGCCTCCCCGACGAGCGGCCATGTTGGAGGCGTGAACACGGAGCGTCCAAGCCTCCGTGCCCTTGCGTGCTCCTTTATCCAGCGCGCCATGACACCTCCCTCGGACCACACACTCCACACTCCCGCCACTCCGATATTCATCGATGCAATCCCAGGCGGTCGAAGGAATTACACGCCGTTCATATAATTTCATTCTTCGGGCTCTCGGCAAGGCGCAACTCCCCACTCCCTTGCAGGCGAGTTCCAGCCCTAACTTCGTAGAGCCGGCGACAACGAGGTTCTCTCTCTCTCTCTCTCTCTCTCTCTCTCTCTCTCTCTCTCTCTCTCTCTCTCTCTCTCTCTCTCTCTCTCTCTCTCTCTCTCTCGTGATCAGCTGACCCCCCTTTCGACGCCCCCCCCCCCCCCCCTCACCGCTGCTATGACTACTCCGCAAGAAACTGCTAAAGACTTTCTAATCTCGCTCAAACAAGTCTTGTGTAAATTTCCCGCTGCCGCTGAAGGGCCGAGTTCGTGCCGCCGCGACTCCAACAATAAATAATTAATCGTAAATACCCACCGCGAGGACCGGGCGCGGATAAGCCCGCCTGAATAGCCTCAATTTACCTAAAGAAGTACCCAATTTCACCCACATTCTTATTCCCTTCTTAAGACGAGAATGACCTGCCAGGTTGCCCTTCTAATTTAAATCCCTCCACAATGGGAGCGGTAATAGTATGACAAATTGGTTGATTCCATTCGCGCACTATTACACTCATTACAATTTTGAAGCCATTTCACACCTCTGTTGGCTTGAATTGACTTCCAAATTGAAGAAGTGAGATGAAGACGTGGAGAGGTCGCTTGAAATTGAGTCACTTTGAGTCAATTTATGACAATTTAGAGTTAATTTGGTGGCGGGCTGGTGGAGTGGACGCGGAGGGACGGGAAAATGATTTTTGAAAGGAACCAGATAAAAGGTGAACGGAAAACTGCTCCCTGGCAGAAGGGAGATTGTGCTCGGACAAAACAGACAAATCAGTTTGTGAGTTTAAACTGCATTGTCTCGATCTATTTTACTCCATCAAGCTTTATACATTGAGAAAAACAAAGCGTATTTCAATCTGTGACGGAGGAGCAGTTGCCAAAGCAGAAGAAACCGCATTATAAAGCATTGTAAACTGAACTTAAATGTGATACAAATTCACGACTTTCTATTTAGGCGCCGCAAAATGGCTGAGTCCAACCGCCGACAAACCAACCATTTATACCGAAGCACGAACTTTAATGGGATTTAAATAACCATTTACATTTGTAACTCAATTCAGTCCGGGTCGCGCATAACCATTTTCAACTTAATTTTTGTAGCAATTGCAGATAGAAATTGAATAATAAAACACAAGAAAAAATATTCAAATTTGACAAACACCAATCACAGCCCTCGCTTTCCGCTGACCGTTGACGCCGCCGCCCAATCACCGGCGGTCACAAAGTTTCGCACTTTTCCTGTCTTGCATTGCCGGCTGCCAATAACGTCTCATTTGAGCAGCATTCGGCGGCCAATCGCGGCAGCACAGAGGCAGCGGGCGGACGGAGCCATCACAATACCTGCCCCTAATTGGTGTGTGTAGGGATAATTTCAATTAATTAGGGATTTCACTGGAACCATTGTTAAACTCAATTGTTGACGATAAGCTCATTGTTAGTTCAAATCATCATGAAAATAATCCCTTGGGTTTTGGGTTTCCAAATTTAATCAAAATTGATTTCGAATAAAGCATTACTGCTTTTGACGGAAAACTCCGACCTATAATTCTCCATAACTGGTCCCGATCGCTTTAGTGAGTGTTTGTACAAATACAATTTTCATTAATACCGAGTTTATTACTTGACATCAACTGAACTCAAAAATAACTCGCTGTGTTGCATATTAAACTTTTGTGATACTGCGGTAACCTCACAAAATGCCTCTAATTGTCGGAAAAGTTGAATGCCGACGAGCGTTGATAGGCTTAGCCGGGGCGGGATGCAAGCGGCAATTGTTTACGTGACCCGTAATTGGTGCGTCGAGGGAGCATGACGCTCCGCCGCCCGCGCCGCCGCGGCCTCGGACGCCGCGGCCTCGGAGCTCTTTCAGCGTCAGCGCCACGCCGGCCTTAATTTCAGGCTCTGAATGGATGCTCTCAGGGCTTAAATAGTGCGCTCGAGGGAACAGGAATGTGATATTTTAAACAAGAATGCATGCAACCAAAGGGTGCAGCTCATGCACTGCAGCAGCTATCCGTGGTGCACAAACACGTGCATATGAAGGCATATGCACAAAATTGAATTCTCCCTTTTTAGTCTTTGTTACTTGTACCAGAATACATTAATTAATGGGCGTACACAAATCATAATAACTTGATCTGAGCCCCTACTTCCATGATGGCATCACGGAAAACCTTTTGGCCAAATATAAATCTCGCGCAGCAAGGTGAATATTCCCCCGCCTTCCAGCCATCAGCCTACCGTATTTACCCTTACTAGTATCCCCATTCTTAAACTGCCGCCTTGTCTGTTTTGACACACGGCGGCTAATCCTGCGGTGTCGAAGCGGATTCGAACCGGCGTACTCGGCGCCCGACCGCGAGGATTCCGGCGCAAGCGGTAAACATCGGCATTACCTCCTCCTTACGCGGATCAGGCGGGTATTTATAGTAGCGATTTGTCTTGTATTATCATTCGGCTTCCAATTGCTTTAATGCTGGTCTATTCGTTATGCCAATTATCCATGAAGTAAATTAAGTTCAGCATTAATGTTTTGATATCATTATGCATTCTATTTCTGAGAACATTTCGGAGAGCAGTCGGTACAATACGCGGTTAACAATAATGTTAAGCCTCGTGGATAAAACTGCTCCGTAAGCTTTCCCGCGTATAATGGGTTGGCCCTTAGTGACCAGCGGCACAAAGGGGAGACTGCCTTGCACCCGCTCAATAAATTTCTCGCTAATTAGATCAGGCTCGGAGCTTGTGGTGCCAATTATAGCTAATCAATAGGTGGTAATCTGGCCATTAGAGGTCGGGCGAAACAATCACGCGGGCAGTTTAAGATTAGTGCTGCTGATGACGAAAATAATTTGCGATTTTCTTGGTGTAATCCTCTTGGGATGAGAGTGGTTGTGGCGAACTGAGAAAATGTAATAGTGCGTGCTTTATTTCATGAAATACGTTTAGAACGTTGCTTTGAAATGATAGGGCAAGAATGCAAGTTTCGAATTGTCATATATTTGGCTCTTTCCATAAGCGCATTGTTGATCTCCCTTTCTTTGTGTTCTCTCGCTGCCTCCCTCCCGCCCCTCCTCATCTCGCAATCCCCGATCCATCCCGGGCACTTACAGGTATGGATGTGAAGTACATAATCCGGCGGGTAATCCTCACTAAAGGTATTACAATTACCTGCCCAACCTATCTTCCCCACTAGAGAAATCCACTGGATATATCGACTACGCTATGAACTTCATGATTTAAACAGAAAGCGAACAGGCTGGAGCACGGTAACTTTCGAATCTTTATAGTAAATATTTCGACTTCCGTGCAGCATTTTCGAACAAACCATGCAATCTGAGAAGCCGGGTGTTGCTTCACTGCTCTTTAGTATGTGATTTTTTATTCAATAAGGGTAGTTTTGGAGAGGGTAAACGAGGAAAATGAGCGAATTCAGCGCCGTTTCCGAGTAAGCCGAAGTCGGGTATAACTCGTTACATGCGGCCGGTACTTCAATTATCGAATCACCCAGAT